AAATTGTGCCATGCCTGGTATGATGCACATGATTTAGTGTAAAATACAAAAAGGCCCTAAACATGACTGCAAAACAGCATGCAGTTACAATAGAGCCACCAAGGCACTTATATCCAGTAACCATAGAAGTTCTAGTTGATGATGCCCAAAGTAACTAAATAAGACATGGGAACCATGTTATTATCCAGGGTTGCATAGTAGTCACGGCCACCCTCCTACTGAGGAGTTTAAGAAGCACCAACTAGGTTGCCTGGTGCTATACCAAAGAGACTTAGAAATGTCTGATGAACTACTGACTTTGTTACCCTTCATGTTTAAGGCCATGCTGCTGCTATCAAGGCTGGTTTCTATGTATGAAGGCTTCACTGAACACATCAAGGGAGAAGTAGGCAACTTACTAGACGTCACCAGAGGACTTGGGAAGCCTTCTTCTGTGTTTCCATAATAACCTGTTTCTACATCTAGCACTAGGTTCCTGGTTGGCATTCGGCTAGTAAACAAAAGGTCGGTGGTTCTAACCCACCCAGTGGCTCTGCTGGAGAAAAGGCCTGGTGATGTGTTTCCATAAAGACTACAGTCAAGAAAACGCTATGGAGCATGGGGTCATGATGAATGGAAATCAACTTCAAGCACAAGACCACACCTCTACTACTGCACTAATCCACTGTACTGTAATGCCTCTACACCTCTGGCTAACTCCCACATCAATTAATGCCTCTTATTACATCTACCTCCATTATTAGTGGAGAGTTTATGGGCGCAGAACTGGCATCCCTAGCCTAGTCTAACAATGAAAGTGCCTCAGAGAGTTTGTTGGATGTATGCAAAAATGAACAAATGAACTTAAATATTAATATTCTGTTGCATACAAAGAAGGTATGCCCTTTTACTTTTCCACTGCAGTCACTAATTGAAACATTGTTTCAGCCTTTCAGCCAACATCACTGCCTCAGCTGAGCCCCTTCAGCTCCTGAAGTCACATCTCCCTGGCTGCTGCTCTTGCATATGAGTTGAAGCTACAGTTAGTGCTTCTGGTATTTCTTCTGCTCCTAATGGAAAGACATACACCCACAGGCCCCATCCAGCAGCTGTCTTGACCAACCTGCTGGTGTGTCTGCCAAGTTCACAATGCCCAACCCAGCACGCTGTGTTATAGAGAACATCAAGGAGGGTACGCTGGCCATGTGCCAGGCCCTTGCTGTTAGGAAGCCTGTATTGTCATATAATGTTAAATGGGCCTTATAAGTGCCTAGTCAAATGGCACCCAGAGCCAGATATGCCTTCTAACAAGCAGGCATTGGTTTTTACCTGTGCAATCTTACCTCCTCCACCGGAGTGTAAACTCCTTAAGGGCCTGTCTTGTAATAGTTCTTCATGTGCCCCTTAGACACCTAGTATGGTGCTCTGTGCACAGTAAACAATTGATAATTAATTATCAAATTAAGTACAATCACATCCCATCAACATTTCTCAGCCCCAGCTTAACAGGTGCCTTCATGTGCATTATTCTCATGTAGTCTGCAGAGCAAATCTCTAGGAAGAATCAACATCCCCAATTTTACAGACAAAGATCACCCAACTTGTAAATGGTCAGAGCCGGAAGCCAGGCCTCCGAACACCAAACAAGTGGAGTTCCTTCCAATCCATCATGCTATTTGATAAAAACTTGTTGCATAAATGCAGAAACAGAAGAAAGTGTCCCCAGACACAGCCACATACTGCTGCTCCCCAGACAGCAATGCTGATGGCCTCACTTTGCCAGACCCCTGAGGATATGATGATTAGGTTTTTGACTTTGACCCATGATGTATGTCGTCTGCTGTCAGGGGGGCAGTATTCAGTGGCAGCTTTCCCAGGGCACTGGCAAAACTGGCTAGTGCAAGTCATTTAAAGATTTTCTTTTTTTTATGTTGTCCATTATTAAAAAGGAGTAACAACAACAAAAAAAAAAATGGTTAGGCAACCTCCATTTGAAAGTCTTTCTAAGAAAACCTTTATAATAAACCACTTTTCAAACTGTCTTCTCTACAAGCAAGCAAAACTATGTCATGGCAAAGTACAGTACAGAAAGAAGGCCTGGTTTTTGTTTTTGTAGAATTATCCCTTGCAACCTCCTGTGAGCGTTATATGCTGCCATTCGCAATACTGTGAAACAACAGGCCTAGTTTCAGGGCTACATTGCAAATTTCAGAATTAAAAATTGTCCTTGGAGAATGCCAGCAGCAGAAGCTTTTTAAAAGTCTGGAAAATTGGCTTTTTACACAAAAACTGAGCTACAGAAAGTTTCTCATAAAAGGATGCTGTCCTGAAAGTTCATCCTGTGCTCAAAAACCAAGGTCAAAAAAAAAGGAGTCAATCCCTTAAAAAGGACAGGACATCCCTTTCCGGCACTGAGATAAAACCTCCCCTCCCCACTCCCATATTCGCATGGAAGTCTGACCTGGCTCACCTTAAAGTCCACATGAGGCCATCTCTGAACAAGATATTAATGCTATTTCTATAAAATCCAATATTCTGCAAGGGAGAACTATATAATCTGCACTTTCGGTCATTAAACCTCCATAATTTCAGATCCACCGAACAAATCCCAAAGGTTTACAGAGGAAAAAGTGAAGCTCACAATCTTTGTTCTAATGGCCAAAAATCTAACCTGAATTAAATTTTATGTTTACAAGTATTCACACACACACACACACACACACACACACACACAAATAAAAAGCTGGCAGTCTAAATTAAAAGAAGATTCTTTACCCCAGTTTCCCCAGATGGAGGCAAGTGGTAGATCAATGTACAGCTCTAGGAGAGGAATTTAAATACAGTATGTGCATCGCCTTTCAAAAAAAGGAGAGAAGCCACTTAACATTTTGCCACACAAAACCCTGTCCGCAGGAGGCCAGTTTCCACAATGAGGTTGCAAAGGTGTTAGAAAGAGGCCAGTTGGGAGGAGATAAAGGACCATTTGGACACAAACCCCCTACCGATCAGAGCTTTTTTTTTTTTTTCCCTAAAGGGTCTCTTTTTCAACAGGGAAGCCTTTTAAATCTACATTTGCTTTGGATCCCTACCTGAATGACAATGTGGTAGGATCCAATTTCACCTTTTGTCATAGATCAGGTGAGAAACAGTAAAACTGCTGTCAGCATCTTAGAAAAACCAAATCGTTAGCTTACATAGGGATGAGGGGGAAAAATAACCTAAAATATCTTGTCAAGCTGTGGGGTGAAGGGGAACAAATGCCTAATAATCCTACAAGCAGAGTCTAAAACTGCAACATAGTATGCTTCCTTTACTAGAAGATTACTAATTCTATTTGTGCTATGAATTGAAACACTGACCACTGAAAAATAAAACCTAACCTTTTCCTAACATTTTAGTTCCATCTCCTCTAAGTCACTTCACTCCTAAGAACTGTTAGAAATAACCTGAAATCAAAACCTGCATATGGAAAAAATTATAGCTGAATGTGAACCTGAAAAATCTGTACAAAGAGACAGTTAAATGGTATATCTTAGAAGCTTATCTATTATTATGCAAATGAAGAAAAAATCCAACTCTACTGCCTTTCAGGGCTGAGTACGTGCAAAAAAAAAAAAAAAAAGGGAAACAAAACCAAACAGTAAAATAACCTTTAAAGCAAACCATCCACTCCACAACCTTACCTCACCCTTCGGGGGAAAAATAATCCCAATCGTTTTTCACTACAGTGAAAATAATCTGAGGAAATAGCTTTAAGAAAATTTTATCATCTTGGAAGAAGCCTTCATGCGGGGGGGGGGGGGGATGTCAAAAGATGTTGGAAACAAGAATCCCAAAGTGGCTCAAAACACCTCTCCCGGTGGGAGGTGGAAGGGGTGGTCACAGTAGGACTCGAAATCAGAAACTTATTCCAAGAACACATCACTGGACACTTCGCTCTTTCGAAGGCAGTACTCTTCAACATTATTATTATTGTTAGAATGCAAAAGAGAATGATATAAAAGAATGTTATAGCAAAGGTATCCGACTCCAAATGCCATCTCAATCTCTCCTAATCAAGTGGGCTTTCCGGCCAAGTAGATTAAAATAACGGCTGATGGAATCTCCAGGTTGATGCTGTTTATTCATTTTTACTACTGTTCTCTACAAGTACCATCTTCCGGATTCCTTATTAGCCACCGGCAATTTTTCTGTAAGCTTCTCTTCCTCTCCTAGGGAGGATGGGTACGAAAAACATTCTGAAGAAATAGGGACCTTGCACACTTTGCTCCCTTTTACCTTCCCCCAAAAAAGGCACACACACGCACAAAAAAATCACACTGCCAAACAGCGCGAAACCTACAGCAGCCACAGCGGAAAGCAACAAAAAAAAAAGTCCCACACACAAAACAAGAGTCGGGAATCTACCAGGAACCTACAAAGCCAGCCCCTCCCCCAGGCACTGGGGCGAGAGGATAAGGAGCACGGAGCCCACTCCCGGGACCGCTACGCACGCTGCGGCGCCTTTCCTCCTCTCGCCCATCCGTGCGTCTGGGTCTGAGAACTCGAGAGGTGGTCAAGGGGTGAAATGACGATCTCCGGGAATCGTCCGCCGGCTGCCCCGGGATGGGCGCACAAAGAGGAAAGAGTAGTTTGCAGGAGCGGCGGGATGAAAACAAGTCTGCGAGGGAGAAGCGTGCAAATTAAGGAAGGAGGTGCAGGGCATTGGAGGACCTCACCTAGAAAAAGAAGCTGGTGCTCGGAAGAGGGGGGCTGTGAGGGGGAAAGTGAATTCCGTGCAAAGGGCTGGGGATTCCGTCAAGGAGAAAGGGAGGGGTGTCTGAGTGCATGGAAGGAGTTAGTGTGTAGTGAAGAGGGTTATACCAAAGGACAGAAGTGGTCCGGCAGGACTAGGGGCTCTGTGCATGCAAGAAGGGCCGATGCACGTTCTACAAACATGTGCCGGGGAATGGGACGTAGGTTTGAGCAGAAAAGAAAGGCATGCTGCCTGGCAAGTTGGAGACGCGATAGGGGCCACTTACCTGCATAGTAACGACCCCTAGCTCCTCGGCCGCCAGCCTTCGCATCTGGCTCGCCAGCACTTGCGCCTCGTCCAGGATGGAGAAGTCGGCTTCGGCCCCGGCGCCCGGGAGCCAGCACACGAGCAGCCAGAGCAGCCAGAAGGGCAGCCGCCGTGCCCTGGCTCCGGCTTGGCCGAGTGAGCTCTGGCAGTGGCCGACCAGGGCGCCTGCCCCTGCTGTCTCCTCTTCCTCTGGCTCACGGGCCATGCTTCCTCCTCCGACTCCCTGCCGACTGGCTCCGGGCGTGGGGAAGCGGGAAGGAGGAACGGGAGGTGCGCCAAGGGCCCGCTCGGCGCACCCGCAAAAACTTTCTTCCTCTTCTGCAGAGTCCTCTGCGCGCCGCAGCGGATTCTCCCAAACTTAGGGGGCGCCCGGCTACGGCGCGGGAGCGCGAGCGGCCACCATCACCGAGCTCCGGCGACGGGCGGGAGAGGAAGCGGTCGCGCGAGCAGTCCGAGGGACCCCGGGCACCGGCTTGGCCCCCTCTATGCTGGGCGTCTCGGGAGAGCCGCGGCGCCCACAGCCTGGGAAGTGCGGGCCGGGCGGCCGCGGACCTGACAGTCGCGGCCACAAGCCGCGGAGCTTTCGCTTCCCCGAATCCCAGCGCTGCGAGGCGGCTACGGCGGCGAGGGCGGGCTGCAGCGCCGGGGGAGGAGGAGGAGCGGAGACCGGGCTGCGAGGCTGGGGCAGCCACCGGAGCAAAGAGGGAGAGGGGGAGGTTTGAAAGAAAAAAAAAAAAAAACTGAAAGAAAGAAAGAGGTGGGGGAAAGGGAGGTGTCTGGTGCCACCACGCTGTGCTCCGACTCCGTGCACTTCCCGGCTCCGCCGCCGCCGCCACTGCTGTGGTGATTTATGGAACCAGAGACAGAAAGGCGGGGAAATTCCCCCAGTCGCCCCTCCTATCTTTCCTTCGCTCCCGCCTCAGAACCTGCCCCCCGAGACGCTCGGGGGCAACAGATATTCTCTTCTCTAGGGTTCCAGACGCACGAGGAAAGGGGGCTCACTTGGACCCTTCTATTTGGCCGGTGACCGCGACTCCAGCCACAGCCTCCGCCTACGCGAGGGAGTCCCGAGTCCCACCCGTTCAAGGTTCCACCCATCGAAAGTCCCTTTAAGTTCTAAGACGCTGGCTTTCTGCCTGCCAGAAATTTGGAGAGGAGAGGACTGCCTTATTGTGCGTCCGCTCCCTTTCTGGGATGTTATTGATAGAATAGCCAGACCTCGTTCGATCAGCAGATTATTTCTGAGCAGGCAACCCTGTGCTCTGGGGGTTGTATACATTATGCTTTAATCCCCAGGACATTCCTATGGGGTACGTATCTTTATCCCAGATTTTTGGAAACAAAAACTGAGGCTTGGCGAGAGGGAGTAAATTGCTAAAGGTCACCCAGGGAATGAGGGAGAGATCTAGAATTTAAGCACAAGTCTCACTCCAAGGCTCTTGCTCTTAAACACGACACGGTTCTGTGTCTCTTTGGAAGTGAACCACCTGATCCCATCAAAAGCAGAAAACTACTGAACCGGAGTTCCCACACACACACACCTGTTCTAAGAAGCAGGCGGAGGCAAGGTTAACCTTCCTGTCTGCTCCTGACTCCCGGCTCTGAGAAATCACCTATTGGAAGCACCTGGGTCAAGTGAATGGGGGAAGGAGATGGAAAGCAACCATTCCTTCTTCCAAGCCCTGTGGGGTCGCTGATTGTAGGCTCCCAGAGAACACAGCCATGCACAAGAAGACCGAAGGACTTGCCTAGGGTTACCTAGCAGAGATGTTAGCAGGACTGTTGTTAGCTGCCCTCGAGTCTCCCAGACTCATGGTGACCCCATGTGTTACAGAGTGAAAATACTCCATACTGGTTGTGATGGTTATCTTTACGAAAGTAGTTTGCCAGGCCTTTCTCTCACCAAGTGGCTGGGTGGGTTCAATATCAACCTTTGGATTAGTCCCTCATGGCAAACTGCTTGTGCCACCCAGGCTTCTGCAGGAGGACTAGATCCTGGATTTAGTTGCTCTTTTGCCTTCACAGTTTTATTTCTTTGTCTACATATTGTGTTTAAAAAAAAAAAAAAAAAAAAATCTCCTCCTGTAAGCAGTCCCTGGCCCTTTTTACACTCCTTGTGATCCTTTTTGTTGTTAGGTGCCATTGAATCGGTTCCTACTCATAGCGGCCCTGTGTACAAGAGAACAAATCACTGCCCATTCCTTCTCCATCCTCATAATTGTTTCTGTGTTTGAGCCCATTGTTGCAGTCACTGTGTCAATCCATCTCATTGAGAGTCTTCCTCTTCTTCACTGACCCTCTACTTCACCAAGCATGATGTCCTTCCTTCTTCAGGAACTGGTCCCTCCTGAGAACATACGCAAAGTATGTGAGAAGTCTCACCATCTTGGCTTCCAAGGAGCATTCTAGCTGTACTTCTTAGAAGACAAATTTGTTCATTCTTCTGACAGTCCATGGTATATTTAGTTTTCTTCACCAACACCATAATTCAAAAGCAGCAATATTTCTTTTATTTTCCCAGTCTTCAAATATTTTTTCATTAGAAGGCCATCCATTGCCTTCATTTATTGTATTTCAAATCACTATACATTTAACTTTTGTGAAAACACTGCTTGCATTTTCTAGTACAAAAAACCTAAAAATTGTTTAGTTGAGAAATATCCAACTTAAATAGCAAAAAGGTACATCATAATTACTGCTGCACCGCAGTCATTTCTGCATTTCCCATGTTTCTTAAATATCTATCTTGTCTGATAACACACAATATAAAGAGCAGTTATGAAAAACAGACATTTACATATACCTGTAAAGTCTTATTGAGGATATCCTGTTGGCATTGGATAACCAATCATAGCTGCAGCTGCAGTAGCAGGATACGCATATGCCGCCTGTTGGTTCATCCCATTGTGCATATTTGGCACGTTAGTTCCATATTGTTGAGTGCTATTGGAACCATTCTAATAAGTCCCTGTTGGATTACCAGTCCTAAAACTGGTCTGTATATCAGCAGACATAAAATTACGTCCAAAGCTCCCATTGGTGTAATTTGCAGCACTGTAAACAACATTTTGAGTTTTTGCCCCCAAATATCTCTTAAGCAGACTAGAGTAACCTCTGTCATAATTTTCCTTGTCTCTAAAGGTATCGAATCCACCCCTTTTGCTCGCAGAGTATCTGTCCCGACAGTCGTCCTTCATGCCTCTTCTGCCCTTGGAATGACCTGAACCACTGTCTTCCACTAACTAAAAGCAATTTGGGATTTATTACTTGATGGGTGTCATGAAGCGCAGAGATAAGATTGTTCACTTGTTTTATGTTATTAGGTGTAAAGAAATGCTATGCTGTGCCTCTTTTGGTAGTGCAAGCATTTCTTCCAATTCGATGAATATAATCCTCTGAGGAATTAGGGCAGTCTTAATTGAAGACAAATTTCACACATCTTCCACATCTAGCCCTCTGGAGGCTACATCTGTAACAATCAGAATAGGAGCTTTTCCATGTTTGAATTCATTTAGAATCCAGTCTCGTTCTCTTTGACTCTTATCACCATGGATACCCATGACAGGCCACCCATCTCTCCTCATTTTTCTGGTAAGTTCATCACATCTTCTTTTGGTTTCAACAAAACAATGCTTTTATTCTCCTTCTCACTCATGATCTCTTCCATGAGACGAATAAGCTTTTCATCCTTTCCTCATCATGACACACATCAACAATCTGAAGAATGTTGTGGTTTGCACTCAGTTTAGTGCACCAATATTTATGTGAATGCAATCTTTCAGAACGTCTTCAGCAAACTGTCTTACTTCCTTCAGCCAAGTTGCACTCCACATTAGGATTTGCCTATCAGGTCTTATCTGATCCACAATCTTCCTTATTTGGGATTCAAAGCCCATATCATGCATTCTATCTGCTTCATCAAGGACAAGGTAGGTTGTTCTTCTCAGATTGGTTTTCCCACACTCTAAAAAGTCAATCAGTCTTCCAGGTGTTGCAATACAGTTTTCTATACCTCTCTCCAAATCATGTATTTGAGGTCCCTTGGGAGCTCCGCCATAGATGCAAGTAGACTTCAAACGACATGTTCTACAATATTCAGCAGCTCCTTGCACCAGTATTCTTTTGATCTTCCTTATTCATTGTCCAGCTTTCCTTTACCTATTCTGAATTCTTCAACAACTGTTGTCTCTAATATATTATAAATTCTTTCATGTTGTGACATTTCACTCTGTGTTCCCCAAAGACAGGCACATGGGACACTTGCAGCATATCATTCAGTATCTGCAATGTGTGTTTTCCATAATTCCACACCTGCTGGAACAAAGTGAGCTTACTGAAAGCAGGGGCCAATCCATTCATCTCCACTTCATTCTTGTGTATAAAGTAGGTACTATAAAAATAATTCTTAAATCAATAAAGGGATAAAAATCTACTTGAGTGTCTTCCACTCCCAAAGCTGAGCTAACATTTGTTAAGGGGATCATCCTATAAATGGTGTTTTTTATTGTTTCCCTTTGTACACAATAATCAATCAGTGAATCTCAAGACATTAGGCCATGAAATAAGTGAGAAAGAGAACCATAAAAATAATGACAGCTAGCATTATTAATTTTTTGCATTGAATTCTTCAAGATCAGTATTACAAGTTGTCACACATCTCTAATGTATCATTCTGAAACTTCTTCAAGATGGACTCTCTTTCTTGGCCTTTATATGTTGATATTTCTGTTGCTGTTGTCGTTAGTTGCTGACTAGTTAACACCAACTCATGGAGAGTTTACGGACAGCAGAATGAACCGTTGCTGGTCTTGTAACATCTTTATGGTCATCGGTATGTTTGAGTCCATTGTTGCATCTGTTGTGTCAATCCATCTCATTCAAGTTTCCCTTGTTTTCACTGACATGTTGTCCTTTTCAAGGGACTGGTCTTTCCTGATGATGTGTCCAAAGTAAGAAAGCCCAAATCTCATCATCCTAAGTTCTAAGGAGCATTCTGGTTGTATTTCTCTTCAGGCTGATTTGTTGATTCTTCTGGAAGACCACCAGTGTCAACCAATAAGCAAGGAAAACAACACGGGCTTACTTGTGCTTACTTACTAATCTGTAGTAAACAATTTCACCCTTTTTTTCACATCAAAGATTCTGCTCCTAGGTATGGCTGGCAGTTATCTCTCTCCCAGTCCCATAGCACCTTCCTACAGAAGC